CAATAGCAATAACTGAAACGCGTTTCTTCAGTTGGATAACCCAAGAAAGCTCCACTCAGCAAACGAATATCACGACTTTTCTAGTCCGAGACTCTTTGTAATAATCAACAGCTATGCTTGAAAATTTACTTATTTGTAAATTTATTTATAAGCAAATAATACTTTTTAAAATAAATTATTTATTAGTAAAAGTTAGAAATAAGTACTTTGCATCTTTTAATAATAATAAAAGAATTACTTTCTAAAAAAAATTGTAGATTTTATTTAATGTAATAGAAAAATAAATTATTAAATAAAACTATTTGGAATTAACTTTGTTTAGGCTTAGCCAAACAAGCTCCGTTCATGGAATAAAACTATTTGGAATTAACTATTTCGAGCCTCCGTTCATGTTATGAGGTTGTAGAGTAGAGTATATAAAAACATTTGAACAAATTGGAATTAATATTTGAGATGTTTAGGAAATGTTAGCTGTATTTTTTCTCTTATAAGTAAGATATGAGCCACCACGCCCTAACATAGTCTAAGGCCATATTTGATACTATAAATTTTCCATGGAAAATGGAAAATATTTTCTATTTTCCTACTTTTTACCTGTTTGATTGCAAAAATTTTACCTGAAATTCGTTTTCCAGCCATTACATTCACACACATCTTTTCCTTGCAATCAATGAATTTGTTTTCCTTTTGTTTTGGTGGTTTTTGATTTTCCAACTTTTCTTTTTTTATTTTGCAATTGAGAAAAACTCTGGACATAACAATAAAAAAAATTTATCACCCTTATTGACAATTTCCATGTAAAACAAAGTCAAACAAATGGCATTCAGTATAGTAATTTTTTTAATTTTTTTTTTTTTTAATTGCAATTGGAACAAATTCTAAACCCAATAGTAAAAAAATTATCACTTTAATAAATAATTTTAGTGAAAAACAAAGTCAAACGGATACCAAACTTTCAACATTTTCCAGGTAGAAAATTATATCAATCAAATACAATTAATTACATTTTCCAGTAAAACAAATTCCAGATCATTCAATTCCATGTAATTCATTTTATTTCCACTCAAATTCCACATTCGCAATCAAACGGACCCTAAGTTGAACTGTTTTACTACTCGCCATATTTAAGGCAACAAATGGGATTATTTTAATGTGATATTATTTTTGTGCATTTTAAGTCCTAATTCTACAAAGATCAAAACATTAGTAGGTTTGTCAAATATTGTAATTTGGAGTCAAGTCAATGTCGTTGTATCTTGAAAGACGAGTGTCGAAAAATTGTCAACACCAATGATTACCATCTTAAAGTTGAACTCTTGCTCTGACGATTATCATTCTGTTTTATTCCGTTCATTTCGTAAGTCGGAATTCTACCCAATAATTTATTCACTATTTTGAATATAAATTACTGCACGGTAAAATCAATATTTATCCAACAAAATCACAATTATATCTATTTTAAACCATGATTGAAGATGCTCTTCTAATAATCTAATGAAGTTGAGATGTATATTATTTATTGGACTGTGACTTCGCCGTCAAATAAACTAGTGATGAACTTGAGTAGAAATAAATAGCATCAGATCAAACCGATCTATTATTGTAAGATTGTTTACACCTCTGCAAAGTTCAGACAGACAACCGAGCCGAGCCGAGCTACATGTTCCCAACCTTCATATTCTCTCAGAAATATAAATTCAATATGACTGAAATATCAAATTTAACTTCATTCACACAGAAAATCATATAAATCCTAGATCTAGTAGAGTTTTCAGAAATAGTGAACATCAATCTGTTCTTGACTCGGTAATGATCGGTTAGGCTTGCAGTGCCTCAAGATAATGAGAATACAACTAATGCAGGATTTGTAGGCAAAACTAGATGATAATGAAGCTTGGTGCCAGATATTTTTCCCCTTATTCTTTATCAAACTACTATGTTAAAAAAAAAATAACATAACTCGACAAATTCAGAAATTTTCTGCTAAGGGATTGTTTCCTCAGCTTGCATAATCAAGAAATACCTAAACAACATTTTTCCTCCATATAAATGAAAAAATATATCCACTCGAATGCTCAGTTCAAGACGAGCATGCTTATAAAGCTAAAACATAAATCAACGTCAAGCCTGATGAGGTTCCCACATATGAACAAAAAGCAGAGGAACTACTCCATTAGTAGTAATAAAGAACTTACACCATGTCTCCTGCAGTAGAAGCATGTGCATATTCATAAACAGCCACATTAGAACTCCAAGCTGTCAATATTTTATCACCAAACAATTCAAGATGAGCTTTTAGTTGAAGAACTGTTGGCTCCTGCATAAAGATCTGCTCAGTAGCATGAAAAACTCACCCAACTTCCAATAATCCAGAAAGAACTCTAGGCAGGACAAGGAGGGTTCCAGTTTTGAGACCTAAGCAAAGAAAATATGATTTACAACACACGAACCAAACAAATATCCAAGAGAGAACTGCCCTTCATTTTTTTTACCATTGAAGTCCTCTTTGACACAACATAGAAGATCATAAAGAAAACTTGTCACTCATAAAATAATCCAAGGATGGCAGCACAAAATTACACGCCCGAATTTCCCACTACTTTACTCAAAACTACAACCTTTGCATTGTAAATTGTAAGGTTACATGGCTCTAAGACGAGTACCCCTTACAAGGATATTAGGACATAGTGAACTAACATATTGCTCTAGGCTGAATATCAACGTCAGTATCCCAAACAAAATGTCTCATAATCGAAACATTCAATCCAAACCACACACCAAAACCCACAAGTATCCGACAAGATAACAAGGGCATATGAAGCTATTGAAAACTGAACGATTAAAGAAAGAAAACTGAAAAGAGAAAATTTGGAAATATTTAACACGTTATCAAGAAACTAACAAGATGTTGTATATTTAACCAAAGCGAAATCAGGGTTTTACATGGACCAAACATCACATAAACAAAACAATTGATCCAAAACCTTAGTAATATATATTCATCAACCAAGCCGCGCTAATAAACAACAAAACCCTAGAATTCTTGCGAAGCAGAACCGATTTCCTTGTCCCTTCCTCCAGCCTTTTTGGGCAACAGGTTCTGATGAATGTTGGGCAAAACACCACCATTCGCAATTGTAACACTTCCCAGCAGCTTGCTCAACTCCTCATCATTCCTGACTGCCAATTGTATGTGCCTAGGTACAATCCTGTTCTTCTTGTTGTCCCTCGCCGCATTTCCCGCAAGCTCCAAAACCTAAGTCAAGAAAAAAACAAATCACAATCCCAGAATTTAATACTTAAATCCTAAAATCCGAAACCCAACAAATTAAAATAATCAAAAGGACAATCAATTAAATACAAAAACTTGCCTCAGCTGCAAGGTATTCAAGGACGGCGGCTAGGTAGACCGGGGCACCAGCCCCAACACGCTCAGCGTACTTTCCGGCTTTAAGGAACCGGGCGATTCTGCCAACAGGGAACTGGAGACCGGCCTTGCTGGAGCGAGAGACGGATTTGGACGACTTGGGTTTGCCCCTACCGCCCTTGGTTGAAGCATTGGAACTCATTTTTTTCACTTTTTGAGATTTCTAGATTGGAAAAAAAGAAAAAACCCTAGATGATTGAAAGAATTGGAGTTCGGTGAAGGAGGGACTTTTATATGGGAATTTGGAGAATAATGGCGAATTTTGATTGGTGGATAGGGGTGATTGCGGATTGCCAGCCTGGTGTGGAAACAAATGGCGCGAAAAGGAAAATCAGGGTTAATTTTAGGGAAAATTGCACCAACGGTATCAAATCTTTCACTTGTTTTACAGAGTTTGTCCAAACCTTTCATTTGTGCCATCCACGATACCAAACCTTTCAAAATGTCGCAACTGGAGTCCAAGTGGATGAAAACCGTTAATTGACCAAAAATTAAAAGTGTAACTAAATGTTGACAAATTTTAAAAGGGTGAAAATGTAATTTAATATTTTACATATAAAATAACTAAACAAAAGAATTAAGTAAGGGTCCGTTTGATTGCAAAGTTGGAAAATGGATGGAAAGAAAATGTTTTACAGAGAATTGATTTTCCTAGAAAATGTTTTACTGGGAATGGTAATTAATTGTGTTTGATTGGTAAAATTTTCTATGGAAAATGTAGAAAGTTTTGTGTCCATTTGACTTCATTTTTTATGGAATTTGTCCATTAAAGTGATAATTTTTCTACCATTAGGTCTAAAACTTGTTCCAATTGTAAAAAAAAATTTGAAAAAAAAAATTGAAAAAAAAAAATTATCATACCGAATATCATTCGTTTGACTTTGTTTTGCATAGAAGTTGTCAATAAAAGTGAAAATTTTTTTTACCATTGTATCTAGAATTTGTTCACATTG